AAACCTCTGAATGGGTTATTCCAGAAAACATCCATACCACCCCCACAGAGGAAATTGGAAGTTAACTCCCCTACCCCCTTCGGATGTCCTAATACATTGACAATTATCAGAAACAATTTTTTCTCCCCTCCCCCTCCGAACGGCAGAAGTTTCCTCTGTGTGGGGAGTGTGGATCTTTTCTGGAACGACCCAATGCTTATATTCATTCAATAGCATTTTTGATGGGCTGAGCTGTTGGAATCCCCTTTGCTGCATTAAAAAATACCTGTCCAAAAATAAGTTTATGGGCTCACACAGAGGGATTTAACCCATTGAGTTGCATTGCACCCCGATGCACCCTACTTTGGTATTTTACTCTGTCTAACGCCAGACGATTTTACTCGTCAAGGGGAGAGCGCTGGCGATTAATGGGTTAAATCTGGGAGATGGCTTTATATTCAGAATTTCTTGTGGTGCAATTCTACACAGGAGGGCTTATATTTGGGGTCTGTCATTGGGGCTTAGGTTTATGGTCATTGCTTGATTGCAATGGGTATTGAATCATTTGAATGGTTTGAACTTGATATCTTTAATGGCCTTTAATTGGCCCAGCATATTCAGTAAAACAATTTAATTTAATTTTCACCTGCCTGTTGTAGTCGTAGAAGTGATAAATAATGTAACTATACACAGTCATTATATATAACTGCTACAAGAACCGCTGGCAAGGCTATATATATCACTCAAAGTTTGTCAGGGAAAATTTGTTTATATCTCTATAATACTATAAAAGCCTGTAGTGCTATAAAATAAATATACAGTAAGTGCACAGTGAGGATTTTGACATTATAACCAGGTTTTAAAACCCCATGGCTATGAAAACACAGAGACTAGTGGTATTAAAATCAATGGGGTTTACAGGATTCCCAACCATTTTCCTGTGGTTTGTGCTTCGTACATTTCTTAAATTTTTTTCTGTCGAGTTTAATATAAAAGCAAGCAGACACAGCAAGCTAGAATCTAGAAATATTCAAATAACTGTATAAAATCTTACCGGTGAATAAAAATATATTCTTCTCGTTCTTGTTTGGACTTTGGAGAATTCTCACACATACGAGCGGCGTAAAAATGCTGTATCCGTTGTAAATCAAGCAAATTGGAAGAAAAATATCACGATTTTCAGTGAGATTTTCTTCTCAAAAACAAATTTTTTAGGCTCAAACCAGGGGGGTGAAGTACATCGTCGAAAGCTTAGGATCGCGGTTGGGACAGTGGTAGTTGCCATGAATTTAGGGACCAGTAGTCATGGCAATGGCGTCAGATCCGCCATGTTTTTGGCGACACTTTTTTATCCCGAGCAGGTCCTCCAGTAATATAGTATAGCTCAGTGGAATTTCCACGCCACAGGAGTCTGGGACTAGCCAAAATGCCCTTATAAATCCGCCATTTTGTGGAGACAAAATTTTTACTGAGAAGAGATAGGAGCACGCATTCTATGTCTATTATTTCTATGGATTAGATTTACATTCCAATCTGGCTAGTATAATTACTGTTGAGATTACAACCAAATTTCAGTCTGGTTAGGATATTACAACTGTTAAGATTAGATTCAAATTGCAATCTGGCTAGTATAAGAACTACTGAGATTAGAATTAAATTCCATTCTAATCTGGCTAGTATAAGAACTGTTGAGATTATAATCAAATTCCAATCTGGCTACTATAAGAACTCTTGAGTTTATACTCAAATTCCAATCTGCCTATAGTATAAGTTCTACTGAGATTAGATTTACATTCCAATCTGGATAGTATTAATTAAACTTTTGAGATAAGAATTACATTCCGATCAGGCTAGTATTAGACCTGTTGAGATTATAATCAAATTTCAATCTGGCCATAGTATAAGAACTACTGAGATTAGATTTACATTCCAATGTGGCTAGTATAAGAACTACTGAGATTAGAATTAAATTCCAATCTGGCTAGTATAAGAACTGTTGAGATTAGATTTACATTCCAACCTGGCTAGTATCAGAACTGTTGAGTTTATAATCAAATTCCAATCAGGCTATAGCATAGGAACTATTTAGATTAAGTTTACATTCCAATCTGGCTCGATCATTGTATTAAAACCGTTGAGATTAGAATTACATTCCAATCTGGCTAGTATAAGAACTTCTGAGATTAGAATTAAATTCCAATCTGGCTAGTATATGAACTGTTGAGATGAGATTTACATTCCAATCTGGCTGGTATAAGAACTACTGAGATTAGATCGATTGACATTCCAATCTGCATAGTATAAGAACTGTTCAGATTAGAATCAATTTCCAATCTGTTTATGATACTAGAATAGGTAAGATTAGAATCAAATTGCAATCTGGCTAGTAAAAAAACTACTGAGATTAGAATTAAATTCTATTCTAATCTGGCTAGTATAAGAACTATTGAGATTAAAATCAAATTCCAATCTGGGTAGTATAAGAATTACCGATCGACAACAGATTTTCATTCCAATCGGGATAGTATAAAACCTACTGAGATTAGTATTAAATTCCAATCTGGCTAGTATAAGAATTTTAACTGTTGAGATTAGAATCAAATTCCAGCTGGCTGGTGTAAGAACTATTGAGACTAGTTTACATTCCGATCTGGCTTGTATAGGAATTGTTGGAATTATAATCAAATTCCATTCTGGGTAGTAAGGGAACTACTGAGATTAGAACTAAATTCCAATCTGGCTAGTATAAAACTTTTGAGTTGATAATCAAATTCCAATCTGGCCATAGTATAGGATCTACTGAGATTAGATTTACATTCCAATCTGGCTGGTATAACAACTTGCTTCTGAGATTAGATTTACATTCCCATCTGGCTGGTATAAGAACTACTGAGATAAGATTTACATTCCAATCTGGCTAGCATAAGAACTACTCTAAGATTAGAACTAAATTCCTATGTGGCTAGTATAAAACTGTTGAGTTTATAATCAAATTCCAATCTGGCTATAGTAAAGGAACTACTGAGATTAAATTTACATTCCAATCTGGCTAGTATAAGAACTACTGAGGTTAGAATTAGATTCCAATCTGGCTAGTAGATGAGCTGTTGGGATTAAACTTACATTCTAATCTGGCTGGTAAAAAAACTACGAGATTAGATTTAATTTCCAATCTGGCTAGTTAAAGAACTGTTGAAATTAGAATCAATTTCCAATCTGGTTAGGATATTAGAACAGTTAGATTCAAATTGCCATCTTGCTACTATAAGAGCTACTGAGATTAGAATTAAAGTTTACTTTAATCTGGCTAGTACAAGAACTGTTGAGATTAGGATAAAATTCCAATCTGGGTAGTAAAAGAATTGCTGAGTTTAGATTTACATTCCAATCTGGCTAGTATTAAAACTGTTGATATTAGAATTTCATTCCAATCTGGCTAATATAAGAACTATTGAGATTAGAATTAAATTTCAATCTGGCTGGTATATGAATTTTAGCTGTTGAGATTAGAATTACATTCCAATCTGGCTCGCTTAAGAACTATTGAGATTAGACTTACATTCCAATCTGGCTAGTGTAAGAACTGTTGAGATTCTAAACAAATTCCAATTTGGCTAGTATAAGAACCATGCATTGAGATTAGAACCAAATTCCGGTTCGGCTAGTGTAAGAACTGTTCAGTTTATAATCAAATTCCAATATGGCTATAGTAAAGGATCTACTGAGACTAATCTCAGTAGATCCTTTACTATAGCCATATTGGAATTTGATTATAAACTGAACAGTTCTTACACTAGCCAAACCGGAATTTGGTTCTAATCTCAATCTGCAATCTTGGACAAAACCCTTGAGACCATTTCAGCTAATATTACAAAGTTATTGAACATTGACAAAACAAACTTTGTCCCCCCCCCTCCCCCCAGTTCAATGTTGTGAACAACGCCAAAAGAACTTTTGGTAATATACCATGATACAAGCTCAACATTGAGTTGGGGAGCGGGGGTTTAAGAATGGCAACATGATTCAACATGGAGTTTATCATAAAAATACGCGAATTCTTTATGGGGGGAAAATAGTCTCAACCAGTTATGTCCAAGATTGTGGCTCATAGTATTAAAACTGTTGAGATTAGTATTACATTCCAATCTGGCTGGTATAAGAACTACTCAGATTAGAAATAAATTCCAATCTGGCTAGTATATGAACTGTTGAGATTAGATTTCCATTCCAATCTGGTTGGTATAAGACCTACTGAGATTAGATTTACATTCCCAATCTGGTTAGAATAAGAACAACTGAGATTAGAAGCAAATTCCAATCTGGAAATTATAAGAAATTCTGAGATTAGAACGAAATTCCAATCTGGCTAGTATAAGAACTGTTGAGATTATAATCAAATTCCATTCTGGCTAGTGTAAAAACTACTGGAATTAGAACTAAATTCCAATCTGGCTAGTATAAGATCTGTTGAGTATATAATCAAATTCCAATGTGGGTATTGTATAGGAACTACTGAGATTAGATTTACATTCCATTCTGGCTCATTGTATTAAAACTGTTAAGATTAGGTCTACATTCCAATCTGGGTGGTATAAGAACTGTTGAGATTAGAATAAATTTCCAATGTGTTCATGATATTAGAACAGTTGAGATTTAGAAGCAAATTGCAATCTGGCTAGTATAAGTACTACTAAGATTAGAATTAAATTCTATTCTAATCTGGAAAGTATAAGAACTGTTGAGATTTTGATCAAATTCCAGTAAGGGATTAGTAAAAGAATAACTGAGATTAGATTAACATTCCAATCTGGCTAGTATAGGGACTACTGAGGTTAGAATTAAATTCCAATCTGGCTAGTAGATGAACTGTTGAGATTAGATTTACATTCCAATCTGGCTGGTAAAAGAACTAATAGATTAGATTTAATTTCCAATCTATCTAGTTAAAGAACTGTTGAAATTAGAATCAATTTCCAATCTGGTTAGGATATTAGAACAGTTGAGATTAGAATCAAATTGCAATCTGGCTAGTATAAGAGCTACTGAAATTAGAATTAAAATCTACTCTAATCTGGCTAGTATAAGAACTGTTGAGATTATGATCAATTTCCAATATGGGCAGTAAAAGAATTGCTGAATTTTGATTTACATTCCAATCTGGCTACTATTGAAACTGTTGAGATTAGAATTTCATTCCAATCTGGCTAGTGTGAGGACTGCTGAGATTAGAATTAAATTCCAATCTGGCTGGTATATGAATTTTAGCTGTTGAGATTAGAATCAAATTCCAATCTGGCTGGTATAAGAACTATTGAGTTTAGATCTACATTCCAATCTGGCCAGTATAAGAACTGTTGAGATTCTAAACAAGTTCCAATCTGGCTAGTATAAGAACCATTGAGATTAGAACCAAATTCCTGTCTGGCTAGTGTAAGAACTGTTCAGTTTATAACCAAATTCCAATATGGCTATCGTAAAGGATCTACTGAGATTAGATTTACATTCCAACCTGGCTCATAGTATTAAAACTGTTGAGATTAGTATTACATTCCAATCTGGCTAGTATAAGAACTACTGAGATTAGAAATAGATTCCAATCTGGCTAGTTTATGAACTGTTGAGATAAGATTTACATTCCAATATGGCTAGTATAGGAACTCTTGGGATTATAATCAAATTCCATTCTGTGTAGTGAAGGAACTACTGAGATTAGGACTAAATTCCAATCTGGCTAGTATAAAACATTTGAGTTTATAATGAAATTCCAATCAGGCTATAGTATAGGATATACTGAGATTAGATTTACATTCCAATCTGGCTAGTATAAGAACTACTGAGATTAGTATTAAATTCCAATCTGGATAGTATAAGAATTTTAACTGTTCAGATTAGAATCAAATTCCAATCTGTCTGGTATAAGAACTATTGACATTAGATTTACATTCCAATATGGCTAGTATAGGAACTGTTGAGACTATAATCAAATTCCAATCTGGCTAGTACAAGAACTACTGAGATTAGAACTAAATTGCAATCTGGTTAGTATAAAACATTTGAGTTTATAATCAAACTCCAATCAGGCTATAGTATAGGATATAGTGAGGTTAGATTTACATTCCCATCTGGCTGGTATACGAACTACTGAGATTAGATCTACATTTCAATCTGGCTAGTAGAAGAACTACTCTGAGACTAGAACTAAATTCCTATGTGGCTAGTATAAAACTGTTGAGTTTATAATCAAATTCGAATCTGGCTATAGTATAGGAACTATTGAGATTAAATTTACATTCCAATCTGGCTCATTGTATTAATACTGTTGAGAGTAGAATCACATGCCAATCTGGCTAGTATAAGGACTACTGAGGTTAGAATTTAATTCCAATCTGGCTAGTAGATGAACTGATGAGATTAGATTTACATTCCAATCTGGCTGGTAAAAGAACTAAGAGATTAGATTTAATTTCCAATCTGGCTAGTTAAAGAACTGTTGAAACTAGAAACAATTTCCAATCTGGTTAGGATATTAGAACAGTTGAGATTAGAATCAAATTGCAATCTTGCTTGTGTGAGAGCTACTGAGATTAGAATTAAAATCTACTCTAATCTGGCTGGTATAAGAACTGTTGAGATTATAATCAAATTCCAATCTGGGTAGTAAAAGAATTGCTGAGTTTAGATTCACATTCCAATCTGGCTGGTATTAAAACTGTTGAGATTTGAATTTCATTCCAATCTGGCTAGTATAAGAACTACTGAGATTAGAATGAAATTCCAATCTAGCTGGTATATGAATTTTAGCTGTTGAGATTAGAATCAAATTCCAATCTGGCTGGTATAAGAGCTTTTGAGATTTGAACTAAATGTCAACCTGGCAAGTTTAGGATCTGTAGAGTATATAATCAAATTCCAATGCGGCTATTGTATAGTAGCTACTGAGATTAGATTCATATTCCACTCTGGCTGATTGTATTAAAACTGTTGGGATTAGAATTGCATTACAATCTGGCTCATTGTATTAAACTTGTTGAGATTTGAATTACGTTCCAATCTGGCTAGTATAAGAACTACTGAGGTTAGAATTAAATTCCAATCTTGGTAGCATATGAGCTGTGGAGATTAGATTTACACTCCAATCTGGCTGGCATAAGAACTGTTGAAATTATAATCAAATTCCAATCTGGGTGGGAATATCAGAACTGTTGAGATCAGAATAAAATTGCAATCTGGCTAGTATAAGAACTGCCGAGGTTAGAATTAAATTCTATTCTAATCTGGCTAGTACAAGAACTGTTGAGATTATAATCAAATTCCAATCTGGGTAGCTTAAGAACTACTGAGATTAGATTTACATTCCAATCTGGTTAATATTAAAACTGGTGGATTAGAATTACATTCCAATTTGGCTAGTATAAAAACTACTGAGATTAGAATTAAATTCCAATCTGGCTAGTGTAAGAACTGTTGAGTTTATAATCAAATTCGAATCTGTCAGGTATAAGAGCTATTGAAATTACATTTACATTCCGAGTTGGCTCATTTTATTAAAACTGTTGAGATTAGAGTTACATTCCATTCTGGCTAGTATAAGAACTACTGAGATTAGAAATAAATTCCAATCTGGCAAGTATAAGAAATACTGAGATTAGAACTAAATTCCAATGTGGCTAGTATAAGATCTGTTGAGATTATAATCAAATTTCGTTCTGGCTATTATAAGAACTACTGAGATTGGAGCTAAATTCCAATCTGGCTAGTATAAGAACTGTTGAGATTATAATCAAATTCCATTCTAGCTAGTACAAGAACTACTGAGATTAGAACTAAATTCCAATCTGGCTAGTATATAATCAAATTCCAATGTGGCTATTGTATAGGAACTACTGAGATTAGATATATATTCCAATCTGGCTCATTGTATTAAAACTGTTGAGATTCGATTTAAATTCCAATCTGGGTAGTATAAGAACTGTTAAGATTAGAATCGATTTCCAATCTAGTTAGGATATTAGAATAGTAGAGATTAGAATCAAATTGCAATGTTGCTAGTATAAGAACTACTAAAATTAGAATTAAATTCTACTTTAATCTGGCTAAAATAAGAACTGTTGGGATTATGATCAAATTCCAATCTGGGTACTAAAAGAATTACTGAGAATAGATTTACAATCCAATGTCGCTAGTATTAAGGCTGTTCAGATTGGAGTTTATTCCAATCTGTCTTGTATAAGAACTACTGAGCTTAGAATTAAATTCCAATCTGGCCGGTATATGAATTTTAGCTGTTGAGATTAGAATCAAATTCCAATCTGGCTGGTATAAGAGCTTTTGAGATTTGAACTAAATGTCAACCTGGCAACTTTAGGATCTGTAGAGTATATAATCAAATTCCAATGCGGCTATTGTATAGTAGCTACTGAGATTAGTTTCATATTCCACTCTGGCTGATTGTATTAAAACTGTTGGGATTAGAATTGCATTACAAACTGGCTCATTGTATTAAACTTGTTGAGATTTGAATTACGTACCAATCTGGCTAGTATAAGAACTACTGAGGTTAGAATTAAATTCCAATCTTGGTAGCATATGAGCTGTGGAGATTAGATTTACACTCCAATCTGGCTGGCATAAGAACTGCTGAGATTAGACTTACTTTCCAATCTGGCTAGTATAAGAACTGTTGAGATTAGAATCAATTTCCAATCTGGCTAGGATATTAGAACAGTCGAGATTAGAATAAAATTGCAATCTGGCTGGTATAAGAATCGCTGA